AGGGGGGGGGGGGGGGGGGGGGGGGGGTCTCGTAACCTAGAGGTTAAGGTGTTCGCCTCTCTTTCAAAGGTCGCGGGTTCGAATACGGGTAGCGACGGAAAACTTTTGTGCTCTAAAATAGACTCCTTTCACCTCCGTTTCTGCTCTCTAGCAATGTTCTGTTGTCTGCTTTCGTCTCCACTTTCTGACCTCACCTCCTTTGCCCCCTCCTCTGGGCTCCTGACTCTTTCTGCAGCCTTTCTACTGCTAGTCCTTGGCTCCTTCTTACAGCTGTTTTTCAGCCACACCCCTGATCTTCTGGTAGGAAAGATCTACACCTAGCCTTCTTGGACAAGGGCGAAAAATCTCGGAAGTCCCGCGCGCAAGTTGCGCACGCTAATGATCACTTGGTGGTTTAAAATCGATAAGAGTACGCATCGGCCGCCACCCGGGCAATATTCGAAATTTCCTACCAACTGAAAAATGTTTAATGTGTCCCGCGCACTCATATGACCTCATGCAGTTGCGAGCGCCGTAAAACACTTACAAAAATGTTTTTTTTTAAAATAAAAAATAACTTAACGATAAGTAGAGCCGAGTGGAGAAAGCAAATTTAAAATATATACGCACCATTGACCTGTTTCAAACCTTCCGAACCATTTAACCGACTTATCTCTCTTCTAAAACCTCGTACGCGCGAGCACACGCACACACACACACACACACACACACACACAAACGCGCGCGCGCGCACGCGCACACACCAATAAAATCATAAGAGGTAGAAGTGCCTGGTCTAAGTGAGTGTACCTTTTTTCGCAGTGCCATCAGATTGCTCTACTCTGCCGACACTCTACCGAAGAACTAACCCTCGGTAGTGGATTCTTTTTTGTTTTGTTTTGTTTTGTTTTAGTAAGTATTTTATGGCCCTCGCAACTGTATAAATAGGTAATGCATGTAAGAATTTTGAATTTTGCCAGGGTGGTGGCCGAAGCCTACTTAACTCTACTCTTTTCATTTTAGGACCACCAAGGGATCTCTGATGTGCGCAACTTGCACACGAAACCTTCGAGATTTTTCGCCCTTATCCAAGAAGGCTTGGTGTTAGATCTTACCTTCCATAAGGTCAGGGGTGTGGCTGAAAGACAGCAGGAAGAAGGAGCCAAGGAGTAACAGTAGAAATTCTGCAGAAAGAGTCAGGAACCCAGAGGAGGGGGCAGAAAGAAAGTGGAGATGAAAGCAGACGAAAGAACATGATTTGGAGAGCAGGAAAGCAGGTAAAAGGAGTAAATTTAGAGAACAAAATGTTCCGGCACCGTCAGGTTTCGAAAACAGGGACCTATTGAATGAGACTGAGAGGCAAACACTGTAACCTCTAGACCACGAGAGCCCAATGAATTCTATGCCTCTTTCAGTACATTGTCATGTACTTACTCCCCATTGACGTGTCATGGAGTGGGACATTTGTGAATTCAACAGTCTATCAGATAGGATGAGTAGACAGCTAGCTTTTACTGCAGGCCCCCAAACAACCAGAGTTTCACGTACTACCAACGGCAAGCTGTTCCGGTGTACTTGTAGTAGTTGTAGATCTACTAAGCTCAGAAAAGAAAATTTTACAGGAGAGATTTTAAAAAACGTCCAATTTTTTTAAATTGTACCTGTACCTACATTATGTAGGTACAGGTACATTATTTTTTAAATAAAAAAATTAGACGTTTATTTAAATCTCTCCTGTAAAATTTTCTTTAAAAAAAATTGTACCTGTACCTACATTATGTGGAAAAATCAGGGAAACGTAGCTTTTCTGAGAGCATCCGAGCAAAGGATTGAATGGAAAATCATGATCGCCGATGTCTGTCGCAGATCTGGCACTGGATGATGATGATGATGACCTACATTATGTATTTTTCCTTGCTTCTTTTTTTTTCCCTTTTAACTGTTGACTGACGCTTTATTCGAACCTGCCTTAACGGAAACCTGTATAAAACGGAAACCTGTCTTAACGGAATCTCCCCACTCCCCCCTTGATATATTCCTCTTTAATTACTTGTATAAAACGGAAACCTGTCCAACGCGGAAACAGAAAGAAAAATCCGCTCCCTTCCGAGGATTTCACCTGTCTAAGAGTACTAAGACGGAAAATGCTTTGCCCGCTCAGCCCTGATTTGAAACAAAACTCGCAAGTTTGGTTCCGCTGGCTCTAAACTAACGCTATGGTCATGTGGCTGGACGAGGAAGGGGAGTAGGGGTGCAATTTGGGGGTAGATGTTACCCCATCATGCGAGCCCTGAGCGATGCAGATGGTCAGTGTAGTGTGGGTGTGAAATCTCACGACTGCCCATGAGAGTGCTCGAGTAAGCGAGCCACTACGGAAACTTTCCTGGGTCCAGAAGCCAGAGGTGTGAAATTAGATTGACCAATGCCTGCCGCCCTGATCGTACGGCCAGCCGAGGAAAGAGTTCCTTGAATCGTTGTTACAATGATGGCAGTGAGGGGTGGCATTGGTTGAATGTGCTTGTAACACCGATGGGTGGGGCTAAGGGTGGAAG